TTGAAAACTTTGAAATATGCAGTGTTCAAGCGTGGTGTAGACTAGATTCTAGATGCTTGTTCTTGGCAAAAAAAATTGAAAAATAAACAGCTTGTCGTAGATGCTGTACCTGTGGTGCGGATTGCTGGTTGCTGGAATAGACGGAGATGACCAGTTCGTGGTGGCTGCTGGCTGTAGATGCAGAGTTTGGTCGGCGGCTACCGATGGTGGATGCAGAGAGTTCGCCGGACATGCAAAGGACAAGAGGTAGGAGGAGACCAAAGGACTGGAGGCCGGAGGGGACGATCTGGATTTGCGATGGGAATAAAAAAAAAAAAAAAAAATTAGGATTATGAATTTTTCTAATTTTGGGTATTTTCTAAATTAAAATGGAGTTAATATAAGAATAATAATGAAAAATAGGGGTTGCAATAGGCAAAATGGATATTTTATTTTTTAATAATTAAAGTTTAATTTTTTTAAAAAAAGTATATTACCTATATCTTTAGAGTGTAAAATACAAGTTAAAAATATATTTTATAATAAATTTATATAAAAAATATAAATGAATATTAATTTCATATGAATAAATTTAATTAGATAATTTATGAATTAAATATTATTTTTTTAATTTTTAAAAATTCTTAATCTGTGGACACAAATTAAAAAAACCATTTTAAAAATAACCCGGCAGCTCAGACTGGTTTGTCGGTCTTGATCGGGTCAAAACAGGTTTTCCAACAAAATGCGTGGCAATGCATACCCAGCCAGTTTGAATGCCCAGGTCCGGTTGAACCGGTTAAATTGGATCAGACCGGGCCGAGTTTTAAAACCATGCTAGACACGGTCCCACCCTTGAGTAATTCTGTTCGACTTGTTCACACACACATGCTCAACTGAGCTCTATAAATAAAGCTCGGTACAAGGCAGAAGATGGAAAGCAAGAGAAATTGATAAGAGCTGAGTAAGTCAGTGCTTCAGGGGAAGAAAAGAAAAAGAAAAAAAAGAGATAATTTTTGTTAAAATTAAGAGAAAGTATTGAAAGGAATTTAAGAACTTTTAGATGGTAAAGCTAGGGATGAAAGCGTTTTTTAGTGACAAAGATTTTAAATTATTATATTTTTTTTATAGTGAATTCTTTTTTTTTTTTTTGTAAATATAAATTTTTTGATAAATATATAAGTCAAACTACATTAATTATTGTTTTAATTTCTTTGTTGTTTCTATTTGTGTGGAACCATGGTGCCTAAAAATTCTCAACACATACCAACACATATAAGGTACGTAGAGACTGCTCTTTCTTGCTAATAGAAAACGCTTCTCTTTTTCAATAAATAAATACAAACTTAGGACTCTCTTCCGTTTTAGAATAATAAAAGTTTTTTTTAGAGTAATAATAGAGAAGATGAAAATTTAGAATTAATTATATGACATAAATTATGTTATTAAATAAATTGATGCATATAATATTATAAATCTCAAAAAAATAAAAAGAATTAATTATTAAATAATATAAGGTCTGCATATAATATCACATGTTTAAAAAAAAAATAAAAAGAGTCAATAATTAAATAATATAATTTATTTTTTAATATCTTAAATGATATAGTTTATATCATATCACTGATCCCAAATTTTGATTCTATTTCACAATACTCTTTTTTATTTTATCTTCAAATTAAGGATTTAGAGAAAATTTCTAATTTTACCTATATTACTCTTAAAAATAAAAATAAAGAACATTTTTCATGATAGAAAAAATAATTAAAATTAAGAAATAATTATAAGGTTAAAATAGAAAAAAAATATGTCTCCCTTAAAATATAAAAAAAATGACTACTCTGTCCATCTCAAAATAATAAATACTTTTTGATTTTATTTTTTGATTAAAGATTTAGGAACAAATTCTATGTTTGCCTTTTTACCTTTAAAAAATAAATAAGAATAAAAAAATTTTTTAATTAGAGAATAGATAATTAAAGTGAAGAAATAATTATAAAATTAAAGTAGAAAAAATTATTTGTCTCTCTTAAAAAAATAAATATTATTTTAGGATAAATTCTAAATAAAAAATAACTATTCTTTTAAAACAAAAAGAACATTATTATAAAACATATTTTAAATAGAAATATTTTTTTATTTTAAGATAAAAGAAGTACAAGTGTGCTTTATCATGTGCCCTTATTTGAATTAGAAGAAGAGTGTACCTTCATTTTTAATTTGTTTTATAAATTATGCACATGATATTAGTGATTTGTATCTTAAATTAAGATCAATTTTTCTAGGAGAATCTGAATAAATATAGATATTTTTATATAAGTACTTTCTCAACTACTCTTTTAATAAAACCATTTTTAAAAAAATAATTTTTAATGAAAGAATTTTTTATTTTAAATTATATAATAAAAAATTATTTTTTTATTCTTTATTTTACCACAATAATATATGATACAATTAAAATCTAAAATCTTACTTTCACTACTAAGATTACCAATTAACAGACCTACGTAACAGTGAGAAGACATTGATTCAAAATAGGAGAGGCCGTACTGCCACAGCTTACAATCGTCATGCTTAATTGAAAATGAAAAAAAAAAAAAAAATGTTCATCGCAAATACCACAATTCTATGGTGTCTCAAGTATTTTGGTTCCATTTATTAATGTTGTGTTGCATTTTATTATATTATATTATAATAGTAGGTTTTTTTATTTCTTTTCATAAAAAATGATTTAAGAATAAATTTTTTATTATTTTTTTATATATTCTATATATTATTTAAATAATTAATTTTTTAATTTATTTGAATATATAATATTGAGTGCATCCATTCATTTAATAATATGTAAAAATTATATAAAAAGGTTTTTCCTAAATCACTACTTCTTTTTTTATTATCTTAAAACTATACTTCTTCCATTTATTTTTAATATATTTAATTTGACTTTTTAATTTTTTATACATAAATTTTAAATGAAAATTTCATAATTTATATGAATAACAATTAAAAAAGTTTTTCTTCTTATATGAAGTTCTTGTTAAGTACTTTTATTTGATCAAATAAAATTTTGATTATCATTTATAAAATATGTTAATTTTTTATTTAAAATTTATATTCAAAAAGTTAAAAAGTTAAATTAAATCTACTAAAAATAAATAGAAAAAGTAAAAACTATTAAAGAAAGGTGTTTATGAATTTAATTTCTAAACACTACGCCATTTTAATGAATTCTTATTAAAAAAGAGCTAAAACTCTATTTAGTA